AAATGATTGGTCTATAATATTTTCACTACTGACAGAAATGTTCAGCTTTGATTGTGCCTGTGTTTCGTGCTCATCTACTGAATGTATTTCTTCAGTAGTTACTTTAACCTCATCAGCAATATCTGAATCACTAATATAATGCTTCGCCAAATCAGTAATGCCCCAAGACGGTCCATTTATATGGAAATGGATCACATCAAAAGTTATATCATAAAAATAAAATTACTCTTGCCTCTCATTTACAGTAAATATTTTACCTGTAAATTGAAGAAATTATCACTAAAGAATAAGAGAAACTTAATGCTGGACCTTAATTACATCAGTATCTCCAGTGTATATATATTCATATCAAAAGGAAGTAAGACATTTATTATTGTAGAACATACCCTACACGATGACTATCCATGTGGAGTTATGTCGTTGATGATATTACTGTGGGTTTATTTATAATGTTCCTAAAAATACCTAGCAACGTCAGTGTGAGTCGCTGGAGTCGTCCCTCCCACTTGTCACAGCTGACTCAAGGTCGGGGTGAGCCGCCGCGCAGTCAGGTGCTTATCTTCGTTGCATAGCAACTGATTGATGCTTCAAGATGGCGACGGGTGAGTCCACTTCAACGCCAGGTAGTCCCTATCCACCAAAATTGCTGACCACTGGTTGTGAGGTTGCTGGATACATCCACCACAGATGAGATGCAGGTCCTTCTGTGTGTCAAACCTTTGGAAGCCCTGTAGATATAGGACTTGCTGGGTACACACGGGGAGTAAACAATCTGCAGTCACAAAGAGCCAAAACACACTGTGTAAACAACTTGTGATGTCTAAATGGTGTAAGGTCCACGTGTTGCAGAAGCTCGTTGGTATGTGGCAACACTGTAAGATCCTTGTGCTGTCACTGGTGGTCCGCGCACAGGATGCTGAATGTTGACCTCGAATATTCCTCACCGTCATACCTTGTTGCCAGATGGGTGTTGCCAACTTTCCACAAGATAGAATGTCATCAGTAACTCATAATTGGTTATTGAAATTTTTTTTGTACATCTCGTTGGATGACAAAATAAAAATCACTCGACGTATAATGTCTCACTACGGGATATTATAATACACTTTGGAAGAGTAAAACACGTCACTGTTTTTTGTTTTTCTGTTTTCGTAAAACACTTATGACTTGTTATTTGGAATGTGTATATAGACCGGAATGTTGTTATCCGTTACCACTTTGCTGCCACCTTATGAACTGGCCCTTTAACCATTGATTCCTTCTGGGTTAATGAGGATGGAACATGTAAAATTATATAGGGTTTTAGTAGCCAAACCCAATTGTCTGTTATCTATTTATTGAGGAACTATCTCATATACAGTTCTAAGTGTATCTCACCGTAACTTAATCACTATAGCTTTGAGTGATAAGAGGAGGACGGAGGCTCTATTAAAGAGCTCTTCTAAATACGTCCGGTTGGTGTGAGGTGTTCAGTGACAATCCGCAGGCAACTGGGTTTTAAATGCTGACCTTAACAGTCTTAGGGCCGTGCCTCAAGGAACTTACCCATCAGGTGATATGACCATGTCACCTCATAGCCAGTGGAAAGTTACAGGGGGTGATATGATTATATAAACCCAATGTACTGCCCTGACATTTATATAAGAACTAAGGGGCTAATACACACTTCAGAAAATGTTCATTGCTTGCTCCATATAATATCCACAGACCTCTCACCTTTTTCATATCGTTTTAACACATCTAGTTTCTCGGCTAAGCTTATTCACTTTCTTTAAGCTTTTGAACCAACACTACCATCACTTGCTCTCTTGCTCATGTTGAATAGGGATGCAAAAAATGCTGTAAGAAGCCTGAGAATGTTTTTCTCCTTTTCCTGTTCAGATGTGTGAAAACAAAGGGCCCGCCAGCTGCGATTGTTTATACTAGTGATACTGGCATCACCACTAATAAGCCGCAGCATCCGGCGGTGTATGCGGTTTTTGGGGATAATACATATACCGATCTCTTAGTTATTATTTTATATGAAAATATAAATTTATTTTTCTAATTTCTGTTGTAAATATGCTGACACTATCCGAAATCCTTGGGACCAGAGGCATTTCGATTTCGAATTTTTCGGTTTTCAGAATGGTTAGGTTTTTTTTTTTTTTATATTTATTTATTTATTTATTTATTTATTTATTTATTAACCCATCCGGGCACAAGTCACTGACCCACATTGGGGCCTGAGGGGCTAAAATATAATAATAATTATAAAAATAATAATAATAATACAGGTAATAATAATAATTCATAGGTCTAGGTCATGTTACTCACTTTTCATCTTTTTTTCATTCTTGCATTTCTTTATTATTATTATTATTTTATTAATACAGTATTATTGTTATCATTATTATTTTATTTTGGTGTATTTTTTAATTAAAATTTTTATATACTATGAATAATTACAGGTATTATTATAATTATTATTATTATAATTAGTATTACTATTACATTTTCGTCCCCCAGGCCCCGATGTGGGTCAGTGATCTATGCCTGGGTGGGCTAATCCCTGTAAAAAAAAAAAAAAATTGCTCCACAAAAAACTTTCGATTTTCAGAGCTTTTCGGAATTTCGGATAAAGGGTTGTCAACCTGTATGAAGAAAATAATGGCGTAAATTGAATTTGGTCCTAAATTAACCAGGGTCTTAAATATGAATTGTCTTTAGTAGAACCGTCGTTATTGGGGGCTTTACTGTATATAGAGAAGAAAGTCCATTACAGTGGTCCCTCGGTTAATGAACCCAATTCGTTCCAGAAGGTCGTTTGTTAACCGAAAATTTCGTAAACCGAAACCATTGTTTCAATGGGATATTGGGTAATTGGTTCCAGCTCACAGAAATGTACATACAAAGTAAAGCCAAAAATGCATAAAGTCAGAAACACTCCTAAAGTTCCCCTAAATCGACCTTAAATCACTATATATATCGTACATATACACTAGAACTCTTAAGTCACTACTGTAATGTGATACAGGTGATTAATTTTATCTCTTGTGCAAAATATATGACGTATATATTCAAATTATTCGCTGTCTTGTAAGGATTTCAGCGATGCAAATTATATTCTCCCAACTTTAGTTTGAGATATTATATAAATAAACACTTCAAAGCCAAAACAAAACACGAAACTTTTGTCTGGGAAGCAGGGTAGGGAGGGGGGGAGGAGGGGGGGACAGAGGGAGGGAAGAGGGGGGGGAGCGGGAGGTGAGGTGTATTTTGATTGACAGATAGTGTCTGGTGAAGTATAATTTGTTTATTTACATGAGATTTTTGTTTTTAGCTCATAAAATTAATAGAAATTACCCGGCCAGAATATAATTTACATTGCTGGAATTCTTATAAGATAGTGATTAATTGGAATATAAACAAGCTAGAATTTGCATTAGACATACAAATTTTAGACCTAATTTAAGAGTTTTATAAGGGGGAGCAAATATTTTATCTTTTGTGTAAAATATATGACGTTTATATTCAAATTATCCGCTGTCTTGCAAGGAATCCAGCAATGCCAATTATATTCTCCTAACTTTAGTCTGAGACATTATTTATTATTAAACCTGTAAGCCTAGTGCTTTTCCCCAAACGTTTGTTTCTCAGGAAGGTGGGGGGGGGGGGACAGTGACATGTTTGACAGTTGGCGCCTGTGGTGTGAAGTATTTAATTGTTAATTTATGTCCTTTAGATTGAGTTTTTGTTTTTTGCTTATAAAATTTAATAGAAGTGACCGGGGTGACTTTAATTTGCATTGCTGGAATTCTTATAAGATAGTGATTAATTTGAATGTAAACATAGAAGAGATCACTGAATTGGCTGAGTACCTCCTCAGCTTATCAGCTGATGTTCAAAACAAAATGTGATTTTCGTAAGGATTTTGTAAATCAAATTTTTTTTTCGTTAACCGAATTGAATATTCTTATGGAAGGTAATTTGTTAACCGAGGCGTTCGTTAACCGAGGCGTTCGTTAACCGAGGGACCACTGTATATTGAGGGTCTGTTAGATGTGAAACCTCCATCTCATAGATGACCTGAAGAATGTTATTAGGAGGTTTAACTGTATAAGTTTTTATTGAGTAAATTGAACAGGTTAAGAGGGGAGTAACCATATTATCTTTATTTAGTTGACTTTTTATGTTTATTTTTAGACACTGTCACCACGTACTGTAGGTGTTGAGATTATTATCACCGCTGAGTGTGTCACTGTACAACAAGACAGATTAGTGTAGGAAACCTGATATAAACCACTTGAACTCTTTTATTTTTATATTGATTAATTCATGTCAGCTTACAGCATGTAAAGTTTGTTGCTCTTACCAGGGAAAGTCAATGATTTATTTAATGAGACCTTTATACTCATCTATGAATTAAGGAGTAGAGTAACATGAATGAGTTAGTATAATGTTATCTATATGTTAGGTGCTTACTCTCATTTTGTTTTATATTTAGCATTTGAATATAATTTGACTTTTAACACAGGTGCAGTTAATGGCCAAATAGTGAAAAGGTCTGAGTGTTTGCATTCTAAATTGACATTTGATTCCAAGACGATCAGCTGACTCATGACATTTCTTGTGATGTAACTCGAATTGGTACTTGTTACTTATGGTAAAATTTAAAAGGATTATAAAAAAAAGTTCCTAACGCACATCATTAAAGATACGACGAGAAGAAATGATCTCTGAAATTTAGCTACTCTCATTTGTATGGTTTGAGATAAGTATGACCAGAAAACTAGTGTGTTTCTTACATGGGCTGCCATCAGTTAACAGACCTTCACTAATTGATAATCTGAATATACACTTGTACTCTTGAGTGAAAAAAAAAATAAACCCATGTCAAAAGAGTGAGAATTACAAGTAGGAAGCAAGGAAAAAAAGCCATAAGAAATTAAAGAGAAAGACATAAGCAGTTTAGAATGTTAGAAATATAGTCATGTACTGTACCCTCTTTACCCCCACAGCTTGTGCATCAGGAAGAACTCTCAGACACCTTTGGGGAGTACGGAGACATAGTGTCCATAGACTTGATACCTCCCCGTGGATGTGCTTTCATATGTATGAATAGACGTCAAGATGCTGCTCGGGCACTCTCCAAGTTAAAGAACCACAAGATGCACGTAAGTTTTAAACCGTTAAATATTTGTTGTTTAAGTTTACTCTGGCAAGCAAAGGGTCCTGAGTGTGATTCCTGGCCAAGGGTCCCACCAGGTACACTCTCCCTTACAAACTCAGATGTGTTTGCTGATAGTGGAATAACTTTCAATTGACTAGCGTGGTTTCAGGTGGATGAGGTAACCCATTTGTCAGTTGCTGCTGTGTGCAAAGAATTGATGACAGTACACCACCTGTCTAGTATTCCTACATGATGGTATTAAGAGGTATGGTGTGAGTGAAAATTAAAGATTATAATTATTATTAATATTAATGATATTGTAGTTGAAGACATCTTTCCTTGTCATGCCCTAAAGCAAGGAATCTCTTTTAACATGAAAGTCAATGCAATTTATTGACCCATTTTAGGTATACCAATCACTCCTCCCTCCCCACCAAGCTTGTCCACTTGGCATATTATACAGGAGAAAGGTGTCCCTGCTGTCATAGGCCTCTGTGTGTGTGTGTGTGTGTGTGCGTGTGCATGTGCATGTGTGTGTGTGGAAAAAGTTCTGAAGGCTGAAAAAATACATTGGACATAAATGACTTGTTACATACATTGGTGGTTTAATAAAACCCTTCATTAGAGAAAGGTAAGGGAACATACAGTGAACACACAGATTAGTGTAGGTGTTGAACAGCTAATATGTAGTGTAGTAAATCCCTCCCAGATGGTGCTAGGAGTGACCATGTGGTGTAGTAATTCCCTCACAGATGGTGTTATGAGGGACCTGACGTGGTGCAGTAGTTTCCTCACAGATGGTGTTATGAGGGACCTGACGTGGTGTAGCAATTCTCTCACAGATGGTGTTATGAGGGACCTGACGTGGTGCAGTAGTTCCCTCACAGATGGTGTTATGAGGGACCTGACGTGGTGCAGTAGTTCCCTCACAGATGGTGTTATGAGGGACCTGACGTGGTGCAGTAGTTCCCTCATAGATGGTGTTATGAGGGACCTGACGTGGTGTAGTAGTTCCCTCACAGATGGTGTTATGAGGGACCTGACGTGGTGCAGTAGTTCCCTCACAGATGGTGTTATGAGGGACCTGACGGGTGCAGTAGTTCCCCCACAGATGGTGTTTGCGAGGGACCTGACGTGGTGCAGTAGTTCCTCATGATGGTGTTATGAGGACCTGATCGCAGGCAGTAGTTCCTCATAGATGGTGTTATGAGGGACCTGACGTGGTGTAGTAGTTCCCCTCACAGATGGTGTTATGGAGGACCGACGGAGGCAGTAGTTCCCCATAGATGGTGTTATGAGGGACGGATCGCAGTTGTTCCCTCACAGATAGTGTTATGAGGACCTGAGGGCAGAAGTTCCCTCAGATGGTAAAGGCAGAGGACCTGACGTGGTGTAGTAGTTCTCTCACAGATGGTGTTACAGGGACCTGATTGGTGCAGTAGTTCCCCACAGATGGTGTTATGAGGGGACCGACGTGGGTGCAGAAGTTCTCATAGATGGTGTTATGAGGGACCTTGACGTGGTGCAGTAGTTCCCCTCTATAGATGGTGTTATGAGGGACCTGACGTGGTGCAGTAGTTCTCTCACAGATGGTGTTATGAGGGACCTGACGGGTGCAGTAGTTCTCTCACAGATGGTGTTACGAGGACCTGGACGTGGTGCAGTAGTTCTCACAGATGGTGTTATGAGGGACCTGACGTGGTGCAGTAGTTCTCACAGATGGTGTTATGAGGGCCTGACGTGGTGTAGTAGTTCCTCACAGATGGTGTTATGAGGGGCCTGACGTGCAGTAGTTCCTCACAGATGGTGCTATGAGGGACCTGATCGCGGGTGCAGTAGTTCCTCACAGATGGTGTTAAGAGGACCTGGATTTGGTGCAGTAGTTCCCCACAGATGGTGTTATGAGGGACCTGACGTGCAGTAGTTCCCTCACAGATGGTGTTATGAGGGGCCTGACGTGGTGTAGTAGTTCCCTCACAGATGGTGTTATGAGGGACCTGACGTGGTGCAGTAGTTCCCTCACAGATGGTGTTATGAGGGGCCTGACGTGGTGCAGTAGTTTCCTCACAGATGGTGTTATGAGGGACCTGACTGCTCTGCCTTATTAGATCACCAATTGTATTTCAGATTTGAGATAATTATTGTTAAACATTCACACTGTACCTGTGGTTCCTCGGTTAACGAAATTAAGGTTAACGAATTACCTTCCATGTTCCATAAGAAGCTTCAATTTGGTTAACGAAAAAAAATTCGATTAACGAAATCCTCACGAAAATCATGTTTTGTTTTGAACATCGTCTCATAAGCTTAGGGGGTACTCAGCCAATTCAGTAATCTCTTCTATGTTTACATTCGTTTCCAATGGAGTAAATATCAAGAAAATTGTGCACTTTAATATTTGTGCATTTTTTATGCAGTATTAAAATTATTGGTCATTCTAAAATTTAGCCATCCACGCTCTGTCTACATAAAGTTTTTCAACTATTATTTCTGGCTCTATATATGTAACTTTATTAATTTATTGACACTCATTTACATGCACACACTGTCCTAAGGGCAAAGCTGAACTGTACATATAATGTACAAAATGTACAAAATAATGTACAAAATGACTACAGTCAACCCTCACTTTACGCGGTAAATTCAACCCACAGGGTACCGCGGAAAGTGAGACACGCGTAAAGTGAACAACATAACATATGGGATTAATTGAAATAGAGACCGGGCCGACCCCCAAACTCCACTTTTTGACGACACACAACTATGTTGTAGTAAAAATATTATCTTAACTTTATGATGGTATGCACACACAATTAATAATTAAGAGAAATATAAATAATATTAGGTTTTTTAACACTTACATTAGTAGAAAAGATGGTTAACGATGCACGGGATGGGGTTGTCTGGTAAGAGGGCAGATTATTGGCCCTCACCTGTATCACTTGTATCAATTGTATCACTATTCACCACAGAGGCTTGCAGGGCCTCTCTTTTGTCAAACCCCTCAAAGTCCATATAAGTCCATATCCTCACTATAATTATCACTATCACTGACTTGGGCCGGCTGTGGTGGGTGGCGGGTGAAGAACTCGGTAATGTTTTGATGACTGGGCGACCTTGTGCGCACCCTGCTCGCGCCGCTTAAACAACATGGCGGATGGCGGGAGGTTTGGATCAAAAAATGGCGCGGCTCGTCAGCCGCTCTCCGCGTAAAGGGGTACACGCACCGCGGAATGTGAGCATTCCTGTTTTGGCAGGGTACCGCGTAAACGTGGAAACGCGGAATGTGGGACCGCGTAAAGCGAGGGTTGACTGTACTAAAATTTTTGTCTCGTGCAAACTATGGCATGTTTACATTCAAATTAATCACTATCTTATAAGAATTCCAGCAATGTAAATTATATTCTCCCCGGTCAGTTCTGTTCAATTTTATGAGCAAAAAACAAAAACTCGACTAAACGACATAAATAAACAAATAAATATAGTATTACCCCGCCTAACGCGGTTTCACTTATCGCGTTTTACCGTATACGCGGTGCCTCTCCAGAGCCTAACTTTCACTTAACGCGGGTTTTTTCCACATATACGCGGTGAGTGTCCGGCTCGAGATGCTATTTTTAGATTTGCCCCACCCGCCACCCTGCCTGACTGCCTGTTTTAGCTCATAAAATTCATACAAATTACCCGGCCAGAATATAATTTACATTGCTGGAATTCTTACAATATGATGATCATTTTGAATATAAACATCATAGATTTTGCATTAGACATACAAATTTTAGATAAAATGTTTACTCTGAGTAAATATGTTCTCTTTTGTGCAAAATATATGACATTTATATTCAAAATATTCCTGGTCTTACAAGGAATTCAGCAATGTCAATTGTATTATCCTAACTTTAGTTTGAGGTATTATTTATTAAAATTTAGTGGTTTTCCCCAAAAAATTTGTCAGAGAGGGAAGAGCCAGCAGTGTAGTGTGAGAAGAGGGGGAGGGAGTCGAGTCCATTATTTGAATGGACATTAACTTGGCGACTGTATTTCTCTATTTCTCTTAAGTATTAATTGTGTGCATGTACCATCATAAAATTAAGATGTTATTTTTACTACAACATAGTTATGTGTCTTCAAAAAGTGGTGTTTGGGGGTCGGGCCGGTTTCTATTGGAATTAATCCCATATGTTCTGTTGTTCACTTAACGCGGTTTTCACTTAACACGGTACCCTCTGGGTTTTATTGACCGCGTTAAATGGGGTACAACTGTACCGTCAAAGTACACCTCACCTCCTGCTCCCCCATCTGCCCAGCCAGGGTTTTAGGCTTACAGTTTTTATCTTATATAATATCTCAGACTAAAGTTGGAAGAATATAATTTGCATTGCTGGAATCCTTGCAAGACAGCGAATATTTTGAATATAAACCTCATATATTTTGCACAAAAGATAAAAATTAATCACCTGTATCACATCATTACAGTAGTTATTTAAGAGTAAGAGTGTGTGTATATGTATATGTACAGTGGGGTATGCTATAACGAACGGATCCTACTGCGAATATTCCTATAACGAACGGTTTTACCTATAAAATTGAGAATGCTATAACGAACGAAACTCCTACAACGAACATTATTTAAAAAAAAAAAAAATTTATTTATTTTTTTTGTTTTTTTACTAATTTATTGTTTTTTTATTACAAGTATTAATGATATTGGTTATTTCAGGGGTTTAGATGCATATTTATGCACTTTTTTACAATTTTTACAATTTTATATTATATTTTTCAGTGTTAAGTGGTTGTATTTGGGGGCCTGGAACGGATTAATCCTATAACGAACGAATGCTATAACGAACAAGGTTCTAGAACCAATTAGATTCGTTATAGCATACCTCACTGTATATGTATATGTATATGTGTATGTGTATGTATGTGTATGTATATGTATATGTATATACACATACACATACACATATACATATACATATACATATATATATATATACAGATATATATATATAGATATATATATATATATATACATATATATACATATATACATATATATACATATATATACATATATATATATACATATATATATATATATATATATATATATATATATATATATATATATATATATATATATATATATATATACACATACATATATATACATACATATATATACATATATATACATACATATACATATTACAAATATATATATATATATATATATATATATATATATATATATATATATATATATATATATATATATATATATATATATATATATATATATATATATATATATATATATATATATATATATATATATATATATATATATATATATATATATATATATATATATATATATATAATTTTAAAAGTTTAATATTAAATTTTTTAGTCATTTTAACAATTATTGAACATAATTGAAGGTAAAGTGACTAGTTTAATGCGCTGCATCCAGCCTCTTAACACAGCAAACAGGCGTTAGTCTCTCTCTGTTTTCACTGGAGGTAACATCTTGCTTGAGACTCTTCAACTAAACGCTTTTTCTCTGTGTTTCCAAGCAAATTATTGGTCATTTTGAAATATATTTTACATATTGACAATATATAATGCAGTGCAGTGTTGATTTAAAGAAAATAATCTTGAATTACACCAAGAGAGCTAAAATTTTATGGGTGAAATGGCGCCATGGGGTGGCTTCTCTTCCACCCCAATGCCTTCTCTTTTTCCTTCTCCTCCACCCCCATTCTAAATCCCATCATCATCATCATCATCCAGGAGCCTTCTACACACACACCTCAAAGTAAGTGAACTTTTCTACCATTTTTGTTGAATTTAGGAAATTTTCGGTGAGCTGGAACCAATTACCCAAAAACCCATTGAAACAATGGTTTCGGTTAACGAACGACCTTCTGGAACGGATTGAGTTCGTTAACCGAGGGGCCTGAGTATGCAGAAACAGATGATAAAATTCCAACAAGTGTACAATAAATAATGTGTTGTCTGCAGTTTATCATAATTGAGAATTAGCTTTATTTTGACAAGGGTAAAGTTCCCATTATTCTAGGTTATTGTTTTAGTGTAGCTCTAGAGCAGTGGTTCCCAACCTTTTTTGGCTGCGACCCTAAATTTCCCAACAGTACGGTGTTGTGCCTCAGGCATATAATATATTATGGAGCTTGAATGTTAAGCAAAAATTTGTTTATGACTATGATAAGTACTATGTTTTTAAAATTGTCTGAGGGCCCCTGATGACCCTACTGAGGACACCCCGCGACCATGATTTGGGTTGTGACCTGAGGTTGGGAACCGCTGCTCTAGAGTAAGTCATTGTTGGCCCACCCAGCAATTAATGACTACAGTAACTCGCACACTGCCAGAACAGCATCTGTCTGGGCACCCTACCATACATCTTAGCAACAAAAAAACTAATATGCAGTGGGGTAGTGATATTGGGAGGTATAAACGCCTTCTGAGCCCTTAAAGGTTAATCAGACTTCACATTGAACTCAAACGTTATAATTTGGTCAAACTTGTTGAATACAATTCATTCTTAGTATTTCAAATATATCATATATAGGTAATCATACATAAATATTTAATCCAATATATATTCACATAACAATCATAGCTATGTAATTAGTCTAATCTTAACACTTATAATGAGTATTTAATTTGCCATATTTCTATGTTAACTGATGCAATGGACACAGTCTACCTGTGTAAACTTAAGTACAGTTTAAACTTTCTTGTTGAAGGTCTCAAGAGACACGAGTTAGGTGTTGACTCTACGATGGGGATAGCTACAATGTAGCCACGGTTTGCATTTATACGCAAACAAGCTCCCCTTACTACCACCCAACACACCACCCTTCTCTGTGTCTCTCCATCTCCACCAACTCTACACACTGTATACAGGCAGGCACGCCCAATAAACATGACATGACTTACAGCCTAACATAATGTTTGTTTATAGGTCATCCTACTCATTACTGCTTGTGGTAACAGGAGGAGTATATGTAAGTTATTGTTTGAGCCATTTGCAGTAAATTTTTGTATATTTGTAAAGCCTCCACTATTTTGATGAAAAGGCAGTGTAATTTTAAGTTCCATGAACCATTGGCTTACCTTGTCTAATTCTTCCTGTAGGTTGATCTCTTTTTCATGTTAAACCAGAGATTTGTCTCCAGCTCTCATGTGTATCTTGTACAGTAGTTGTAAGTTTGCTAATCTCAAAACACAGGTGGCATTACAGCAGAGCTGCCTGGCAGTGTTATTACAGCAATAATCATTGATCAAAACAAGCCAAGAGCCAAGACACCTCATAAATACAAGTTAAAAAAACAAAACACTTGGAGTCAGGGGCAGATCCTGAAATATCAAAAGTGGGGGTCCAAGAAGTGTGGGTCGGGGAACATTGGCAAGCACACAGCATTTTGAAGCCATGTGCACTTGATATTAGCAGATATTCTGACATCAATAGTAATTACTTTTTACTATACAAAAACGCCTGAGTACAATAATGCATTAAAGAAAAAGTATTGTAATTTCTGATGAAAAAAAAGGGGTTCTGGACCCCCAGGAACTCCTCTGGATCCACCCCTGGGAATGGCAGTGTTAGCTCCCCAAGTCTCTGGAGGCAGAAGGTCAAGAGTGAGGTAATTGCTGCTGTGTACTGCCACCATGTAACTCCCCGTACTTGATGAATGTGTTTTTATTTTCTGTAGAACAAGGCCATCACTCTGGCATGGGCTCCAGGCAAGGGTGTGAAGGGTAAAGAATTCAAAGACTACTGGGAAGTGGAGGTTGGCTGCTCATACATCCCGTTCCATAAGTTGATCACCATGAGCAGCATTGACCTGGACAACCTAGAAGAAGGCGGCATGATCGACGAGGAAACTGTACCAGATTGGCTCAGAGGTCAGTGTTAATAAGTTAGCCCAAGTTTAGTAAAGGAACAGTATTTATTTATCTCTTAATAAAGTAACATTATATTGTCCAAAAATATTTAAATATTTACTGAAAGAAAGATTTCAGCATATATTTATTACTTCACCTGTGTTATGCCTCCCCAGTTATATACTTGTGAAGTGTCGCCAACTAATGGGGTGGAACAGGTATAAGTGGCTTAAAAGTATTGGTATGGTAACATTAATAAAACGCTGGAATAAACTAGATCACTGAATGAGGTTTGTGGTTACATTGGTACTGTACCTTGGGACCCTCGGCCTCTGCTCGTACGTACGTGTGTAGATTCCACTTGGAATTTTTTTTATCAAGTTATGCCGTTTATACGTGGCAACTTTATTACCTTGGTCCTGCAGCATTAATGTTATTTTTTGTATGATAAATAAATTTATTTATATAAAGTAAAGGTAAAAGTTTTACACCATTGAGTTTGTAATAATACCAGCTGGGATGAACCTGTTGTTGCCATGTCATATCTGTTTGTTACAATGAAAAAATTTAAAGGAAAGTAGTTATAGTATAGTTAATAATGATTGTAGTACAGTACTAGTAATTGTTGTAGCTGTGTTAGTGTTACAACAATAAGAACATGAAGGACTTCTCTAATCTTGTTACTCAAAATATAAAAGAATGAAGTAAGACACAGTAGACCGTCGATATATCTTGAGAACCGTGATACAGTATATAGATCTGTGTATATCTATAGTATGGGACTGGAACCCTTATAAATACATCCAGAGAATTATTTCACCTGACCTGGCCCACTGTCGACCACCTCAATGACAGGCCAATTCGTCACGCCACCCCACTCGACTATGCAGGTCACTCACAACACCTTAGATAAACAAAGTCATAATTATTGGTAGTTCATTGAGTAAGATGATTTGATTCTCTTGCATTTGACTCTTTCCATCACTTCACTTGACATATTATTTTTTTCTGACTTGACAACAGTTTCTTTCCACACCCCACAACACTTCTCCCATCTCCCGAGAAAAATCTTTCCCTCCACACCACCTTTTCTCTCTTCCTATAGTACATAATATTTAGACAGAAACTGTGGAAAATGGAAAGGGGAAAACAAAAACAAAAAAACAACATAGAAATGACCTTATGAGGGGAGGAAGGCCCTACTAATACCAGTGTGTAGATAGACGTGGAAAACAATAAAGGAGAAGAGCCTAGGGTGTACCTGGGGTAGTGTATAGTAGGGTTGTAATTAATAGGTTTAAGAAAAATACCTGAATTTGGATAAAGGAGGAACAGAACGGTGGCAGAAGAGGTTTGAGTTGAATAAATAACATAGTGACCGCTGATATATTTGTTGATAAAGACATCGTAAAATATTGGAAATAGTGTGGATTATATAGTACAGTACCTGTATGGTGTACAGTAATGGGGTGGGTGAGAGGCACATGAGGAGTTGGTGAGAAGGAAAAGATGCCTGACATAATGAAGATATTCTATAAGGGTAATAAGGTACTGGACTGTATGCAGACTCCAAGCTTGATAGAAAAGGGGCGGGGTAGAAATAATTCATGTAGGTGAGCAGTGCAGGTGTACGCATTCTATGTGAGGTCTGGAAATGTTTAGAAAAATTGGAGTACAGTATATTCTAAAAAAAAAAAACTTGTTCTATTTTTTATATATTTGCAGACAATAGCAAAGGAAATAAAAAAAATGCAGATATCTATTTATGAGTTCTTTAGTATTTCCTCATACTTAATAGCATAGATGTCAGATTAATGGGAATTGTTAGAAAATTTATAAATTTAATCACATGCTTTTAAGGGGCAGGGTGGGTTGCCATCCTGGTTTGTGCAGGCAACGGATCTGGTATGAGAACAGTACAATATAGAAAGCAGAGTTGAGAGACTTGAGGTGTGAGCGGGAATGTGTGACATCTTGTGGTCGTTCAACATAATTATGGATAGAATGTTGAGGGAAATGATAAGGGTGTTTGGGACTGAGAGGTGTGATGTAGCCATTGGTAACAGTCTTTCTTATCATAAATCTTACAATCTGTGTGCCTGTCTGTCTGTTTTATTCATTCACTGTCCATCTGTCTTTTACCTGATGCCTTTTTGGGCAACTCAAGTCAACCAAGTGTGAGACATTGTACCCAGTGTTCCGGAAGAGTTGTACAGGTGACAGTAGCTGTCACTTAGGTTTGAAGGGCGGAAAACCTTACTGTTATAATGGAAGCTCTACTGGGCAATCCTCAATATATTTGGTTATAAAGCGTCATTTTACAACTCAGCCCCTGAACAGATGCCTCGTGCTTGTCTTTATTCTCGTTTGAAGCCGAATGCTTCCTCTCTTTTCTTTTTAGCACTTGTCATGCAGGTCCTAGTGCTCATATTATTAATAGGTGTGTTTTCCTCATACTACAAGAGGGATACATTTGAGTTTTGATCAAGTTTATCAACATGATGGTATGTGTGACCGACATGCTCTTTATATATGTGAGATTTACTTGAAGGTTATTATCTAATTCTGACACTTAATATTAGTCATACTGTATATGATTTGACCTGTGTTTTGGAGGCTGTATAGTATTGAGTGCAGTACAGTATCTGGTCTAGGAAGTACAGTGTCTCCCTGTAATAGTACCTCTCAGCATAGTCTTGTGTTGTGCATTATGATGTACTGTACGGTACTGTATAGGAGCCCCTCAGGGTTTCTTGGTGTATCTTATCTGCTGTGGACTCTTCAAGGCCCATTATCCCAGCTAACACACTACAAAGGGGATTAATAAGGTTGTATAGTATTCACTATTTTCCTGAATTATTGTAATTGGGTTAAAACATTTCTTCTCTTGAAATGTGACTGTTCATGTTTATGCAGTTTTTAAGATACGTCTGCAGGGCTAAGGTTGTTGACTATTAGTCCATGCAGGAGTACAGTACAGTACAGTACAGTACAGTACAGTACAGTACAGTACAGTACAGTACAGTACAGTACAGTACTGTCCTGTCCTGTCCTGTCCTGTCCTGTCCTGTCCTGTCCTGTCCTGTCCTGTCCTGTCCTGTCCTGTCCATTGTGGGATGTTTATTACCTTGTGAACTGCTTTAACTCGGTCAATGTTGGAATTAATTAAAACTGTTATCACCTACTCTTGTGTAGAATGACTTGTGGCCCTGACCTGGTGATGGCTGGGGTAATAATCTGAAAATTATTCTTCATCCCTGTAAGCACCTCAAGACCTTAAGCAGTAAAGGGTGGGGGGCAGTGTTGGAGCTACATTACACACTACTTTCATGATCATTTGATCTCAATACAACTACAAACTAACACCACACAATGACCCCACTTCCTAGCTGCTGCTGCCATGGTAAAGACAACTCTAGTCTCCTTGAACAAATATTGGCCTCTTAGTCAACTTAAGGCTTTAGTGCATTTTACCATAATCTGTATCAGATATTTTTTGTGTACAACCTTGTCAGTTGGAGCAGGTGTGATGATAGGGGACCATCTGTTAATATCATCACTGCATTTTGTGTTGTTGAACCTAGTGCATAGTCTAGTGGTGCTAATATTTATATAGTTTTGATAAGTATCTCAAGTTTGGGGATGTTCCTTCTTCAGTGAAGTGAAATTAAAGTGTGGTGTGGCCTGTGTGTGGGTCTGGGAAGGCACCTTGGACTTAATTTATTTTACCTGTAATTTGGCAGTGTGTTGGTTGACTGTGTGTTACGCTGTGCCCAGATGTTTTAATGCGACTTAAATAACTTTGAATAATTGTATTGCTTTCATAGTTTAGGAGTTGTTACCTTGTTTCTCAATTTTTTAGGGGGGTAAAGTTGGATTTCCTTTTCTATTTTTGAGATTTTCTTTAGTGAATTCTTTATTTCCAAACATAAAAGGAATTTGTTTTGATTTCTAGTCTCTGTTTTGCAGACATACCATTTGTTGCCAATCCACTTCTTCTGTCTGTGAGGTTTAGCTTCCATTTTCTATGATGTGAGTCATGTAGAGGTGTACCTTCTCTAGCTCCTTTTGTATCTTGTATTATATATTCTTGCCTGTAAACTTAATTCTATTGTTTTGTTTTCTTTTATGTTATGGCCAGGTTGAAGGTGATTGGTAAGACTATATCAGTCTTAATCACCTTAAACCTGGCCATAACATAAAAGAAAACAAAACAAGATACAAACAATTTACAGACAAGATACTCAGGTGGGTGATCATCTCTTCCTCTTCATGAGATATTTTGCCCAGGATCTTTGGGCAGTTAAAGCAATTTTGTTAGGTTCACATTGGAGAATGATGGAGGACCCTTGTCACCACGTAAAGGACAGTCTTAGTCTGGTAAACTTTTGGACCTGGTGAATGAAATATTTCATATTCAAAAGTCAGGCACTGTAGGAGATGGTTTATACATCTATATTTTCATTTGTGAAAAGTCTCATAAGGCCGTTAGGTTATTGTTGTCATAAGGGAATAATCAACTGATTCCTGATATGATAGGATGACTACTACTGTCCTTAGCATTTGAGGTGGTGTTTGGTGGGCAACTTCAGTTAATGCAAAGAATGGCTGTTGGCACTGTCCTTGGTACAGCACCTTGTTTAGAGTTAATGTAAAGAATGGCTGTTAGCACTGTCCTTGGTACAGTACCTTGTTTAGAGATAATGTAAAGAATGGCTGTTAGCACTGTCCTTGGTACAGTACCTTGTTTAGAGATAATGTAAAGAATGGCTGTTGGCACTGTCCTTGGTACAGTACCTTGTTTAGAGATAATGTAAAGAATGGCTGTTGGCACTGTCCTTGGTACAGTACCTTGTTTAGAGTTAATGTAAAGAATGGCTGTTGGCACTGTCCTTGGTACAGTACCTTGTTTAGAGTTAATGTAAAGAATGGCTGTTGGCACTGTCCTTGGTACAGTACCTTGTTTAGAGTTAATGTAAAGAATGGCTGTTGGCACTGTCCTTGGTACAGTACCTTGTTTA